GGGCGGGGCAGTTTGGGTGATTTTGCCCCCGTTTGGGGCGGGATTTGGGGAGAATGGGGAAGTTTGGGGAGCTGGTTTGGGGCAGATTTGGCTTTTTTGCCCGCTTTCTGGGTGGATTTGGGYGGATTTTCCTGGGATTTGGGTGGATTTTCCAGGGATTCGGGCGGATTCGGGACTGGGAGATTTTTCTTTGCTTTGAGGTGTCTTTGGGGAGAACTTGGGTGGATTTGGGTAGGGGTCAGAGGTGCTAAATTTGGGATAGATTTGGATTTTCCACCCGCTTTCCGGGTGGATTCAAGGGATGGATTTTCCAGGGATTCGGGATGGATTTTCCAGGAATTTGGGTGGATTTTCCGGGGATTCAGGCAAATTTGGGACTGGGAGATTTTTGCTTTGATTTGAGGTGTCTTTGGGGATAACTTGGGCAAATTTGGCTAAGAATCAGGGCAGATTTGACTTTTCCACCTGCTTTCTGAGTGGATTTGGGTGAATTTTCCAGGGATTTGGGCAGATTTTCCAGGGATTTGGGTAGATTCAGGACTGGGAGATTTTTGCTTTGAATAGAGATGTTTTTGGGGAGAACTAGGATGGATTTGGATAGGGATGAGAAGTGCTGAATTTGGGACAGATTTGGATTTCCTGCCCGCTTTCCGGGTGGATTCAGGAGACGGATTTTCCAGAAATCCGGGTGGAATTTYCAGGGATTCAGGTGGATTTTTCCAGAGATTCGGGTGGTTTCGGGACTGGGTGATTTTTGCTTCAATTTGAGGTGTCTTTGGGGAGAACTTGGGAGGATTTGGGTAGGAATCGGAGCAGATTCGGCTTTCCCGCCCACTTTCCAAGTGGATTTGAATGGATTTTCCAGAAATTCAGACGCATTTTCCAGGAATTCGGGCAGATTCAGGACTGGGAGATTTTTGCTTGGATTTCAGGTGTCTTTGGGGAGAACTTGAGCGAATTTGGGTAGGAATCAGAGGCGATGGATTTGGGGCAGATYTGGCTTTTCCRCCCGCTTTCCGGGTGGATTTGRGCGGATTTTCCAGGGATTTGGGCGGATTTTCCAGGGATTCGGGCGGATTCGGGACYGGGAGATTTTTGCTTTGATTTGAGGTCTTTTTGGGGAGAACTTGGGCAGATTTGGGAAGAATCGGGGCAGATTTGGCTTTTCCACCTGCTTTCTGAGTGGATTTGGGTGAATTTTCCAGGGATTTGGGCGGATTTTTCCAGGGATTTGGGTGGATTCAGGACTGGGAGATTTTTGCTTCAATTTGAGGTGTCTTTGGGGAGAATTTGGGCAGATTTGGGTCGGAATCGGAGATGCTGCATTTGGGGCAGATTTAGCTTCTCCACCCACTTTCCAGGTAGATTCGCGCGGATTTTCCGCCCAATTTGGGTCCGAATTGGGTTTTTTTTCCCGCAGGGCCGCCCCAAACCACCTCTGACCCCCTCAAACAGGGGCCGTGTGTTGGGGACCCCCCCTGCACCAACTTCTCGTGCTGCGTGGGGGGACCCGGCGCCGACCTGTCCTGCTGCTGCGGCCGCGGCTTCGTGCTCTTCGCCGTCAACRAGGAGACCCGCGTCTGCCTCGGTGAGCGGCCTTTTGGGGCCGTTTGGG